CAGATTTGCTGCGGACTTGTGCAGATTGGCTGCGGACCTGAGCTGTTGAGCAGAGTTTTAGGCAGACCTGCTGTGATTTTATAGTCGGTTGGGTAGGCCTAACCTGTTTTTTATTACAGCGTGGTGTGTTTAAGAACCCTAATTTATTTAGTGGTTGTATACATAGATATTAGTTAGTAATTTTAATTTTGCTAATTAATTGGGCTTTATCATTGAATATTATTTGAGTGAGAACCCTTATTGTGTGTTTGTGGTTTGACTTTCACACCTATAATTGGTTTGATTTATTATAACAGTGTTAAATATATTTTAATTGGTTTCGCTCTTATCTTTGCGGATTTGTCGTGGGATTTGAGTTTTAAATATGGTTGTGACTACGAGTACGACGTCTGTGCTGGGCGGTACGCCTATTACGTCTGCTATTGCTACGACTAGTTCTGGGGTTAGCTCCGAACTGTCGGTGATGACGACATCGTCATTGTGGCCGGCGTCTTCGCCCGTTTGGCCGACAATTTCTTCGGTAGTGGCTACGACGGTGACAACGTCTCTGACCTATTCCGCGCCAGCGACTATGTCCTTGGGGTCGCAGCCCCGGGACGGTCGCGTGGGTTGGATATATGACCTCTCGAAAGGGGAGCTCATGAGGACGATGGACCAGTATGGTTTGGTGACCACTGGGACTTCTGCAGAATTACGGCAGAGATTCTCGTCGTTTTGGAAGCAGCGGAATGCCCGTCGGTACAGCGATGATAGGCTGTGTACGGCTGGGGCTGCTGCACCGGCATATGTACCGCCGGCTACTACAACTGTGGAGCTTCCCGACCCCCTGAGAACCGTACCTCAGGTAATGGGTAATGCGGAATCGAATCAAGCAGAGATAGTGGGACTTAGCAGGGAGTTAGAGGTGGTTAAAGAGATCCTTGGGTTGTCTTTGGAGACTGATACCCGGACTCTTAGAGAACAACTTGCATTGGTGGTGCGACAGGCGAGGGGCTCGCCGAGTAATGGGGTCGGCTATGGGTTCGAAAGACCCGCCAACCCAACGTCCCCTGTTGTGGCTGCTCCAATGCCTACCTTTGGGTTACCAAGTAGACCCGAGGGATGGCAGCGGCCCAATGATAGTTTGGAGAGACCAGTTCGTCCTTCTAACGTGGAGGTACCACGTGGATCGTATATGCTCTCGAATGAGGCCAGCAGGGTGGAGCCGAAGAATTGCTCCAAGATATGCGACATGGTCCGGAAGTGGGGTTTGAAGTTTGATGGCCGTAGAGACCCTGTATCGTTCCTTGAGCGTCTTGAAGAGCTGATGGGGTCATACTCTATATCATCAGAAGACCTGCTCAGAGCGCTGCCGGAGTTGCTGCAAGGCTCAGCGCTTCTATGGTATAGGAATTGTAAGGAGCTCCTGTATTCATTCGAAGCTTTCCGGCATCAGTTTGAAATCCAGTTCTTCCCACCAGGATATTGGAGGAATTTGGATGAGGAGATCCGGAAAAGGACACAGGGTGAAGGCGAACACTTCCGAGATTATGTCGTGGCTATAAGTACCTTGCTTAGGCGTAGCGGTACGTTTTCGGAGCATGGTAGATTAGACTTAATCTACAGCAACATGCGTCCAGAATACAAACTCATGGTACGCCGGCGTGACTTCAGCAACCTGGCCGAGATGGTGGAGTTGGCTGAAGACTATGAGGCCTATCTAAGAGAGAAGGCGGCCTTCCGACCTCCTCCTTCTCCAAACGTAGCGCTGGTTTTGGAAACCGCCTACACACCCAAAAAGAAGGTGGAGAAGCGCGCCGAAACTGCCGCCGTCGAGAAGCGGAGTTTCGAGAGACCGTCTCCGGAAGCCGAGTCGCGTGGGCGGGTAGCTTTGAAGTCGGATCGGGTCCACGGTCAACGGCCCGTGACAGCAGCTAGAGCGCCTGAGGGTCCAAAGGGGACGGTTAAATGCTTTAGGTGCCAGGAGATTGGTCACTTTGCCCGAGAATGTGGTAAACCAAGGACCGTCTCCTGTTATGGGTGTGGCAAACCTGGTTTGACGGTGAGTCAGTGTGGATGTCGGGCGGGAAACGGCAGGCCAGCTCAGACATCAGGAGGTCAACTGGGCAAGGCCACCCAAAACGAACGACCTCAGAAGAGTGGTCCGAGTGGCTCGGAAAACTAAACAGCCTGGTTGGTGGGTTAGACGAGAACCGGCTGGTTTCGGAGACAAGGCCCTTTGTTGAAGTTGTGCTGATGGGCAGCGTTTTTAAGGCGTTATTGGACACTGGGTCCGTAGTTAACCTGGTTGGGCGAGAAGTTGCCGATCATCTTCAACACCAGGGGGTAGAACCTTTTAAGAAACCCTCTCCTCTAAGGATGGCAGATGGGTCACGGTCGAGGGCTGAGTATTCGTTTCGGCTAGCAGGAGAAGCTGCGGGAAGGCGGTGGATGGGAGATGCCTTGTACGTCCCCACTCTCACCACAGACATGATCTTGGGTATGGATGTCATACGACATCTCGGACTTGTGACAGAGGTAGTAAGAATGGGCGTGGGTGATGACTGTTCTGGCCAAGGTGGCCGCATGGACAGTGTCAAAATTGGTGACGAAGACCCCGAAGGCCCTTGCAATGGAAATCCCCGTCTGGTTCCTGATGCCAAATCATTCAGCACCATTTTGGCTGGTAGTGGCAAGTAGAAGAGTTTTTCTTTGTTTTAAGTTTGAGACCTGTGGTGTAGGATTCACCATTGGGTTAGGGGTTGGAGTATTTTGTTTTGGCCGGAGTTCGAATATTTTTTTTCTTTTTGGCCGTTTTCTTTTTTTTCATCCCGATGTAAGTGGGGGATGTAACGAGTTATTTTTCCTGGGGGGGTGGATATTTGCTGTTCGGCCGCGCACCGATTGTTGAGGTAGGCAAGCGGCGGCGGCGAACCTGGCTAGCGCCCTTTGACCCGGCTTATCAGTGCCGATAAGCCTGGGATATCCTAGTTTCTCAGGATAGCCTAGGACAGACATTCTAGTGGTGGATCCCGGACAGTGAAGAAGGCAGTGTTGGTGTCCTGTGTAAACGGCTGGCGTACGTGGGAGGTACAGAGTGTACGTGGTGTGATCGCGCCGAGTGTTGGTGTAAGTTGGGTACAGACGGTACAGACCCACTGTTGGTGAGTGGACGACGTTCCTTACACTTTGGTTTAAGATTTGATTTAATATTAATCTTACACTTTATTGCGAGAGTTAGAGTTGTAACCGTGCTGGTCAAAGCCTGACGGTAGTTAGGATTTATATTAGTCAGGAATAATATTTAAGTGTATTCCTGACGGTTCTGGGCAGGTGCTAGAGCGCAAATAATATAATTTAATTGACTGTAGTAGTTATTATTTTGCGTTGTACCTAGAGTTAGTTATATTACTAATAACTCTGAGGCCCGACAAACCTAGGCTGCACGATTTAGCGTGCGTAGTTGGAAACACGTGGCCAGTAGGCTAGTAGCTAATATTATTAGCCTATTAACAGAAGCCCAGCTAAGTAACATAAAGTTGGTAGTAGCAGTGATAGTAGTAGGGTTGTTATTGATTAATCATTTGATTATTTTAATTTAACCTGAACAGCTTGCTTAGTAATCCAACACGTTAGCTCGGTAGCTTGGATAGCGGAGTACCGGCTATCAGATAATATATTTATCTAGTGTTTGGAACGTATTTAATATTTATTTATCTGCTACTAAGTAGTTCAATATTTTAATAGTGCAATTGCCATTTAATTTTGCTTGTTTGGCTTGGTATTTATTGAGACCAGCTACTAGTGGTGTAGTCACTCTACCTATAGTGTACTTGTATATTATTATGTGGTACGATTATTGAGTGAACTGTTTGATTCTTAGCTTGGGCATTAGAGTTGTGTATTGGATTATAGTGGCCTAGTAGACCCCGCCTGGTGATAACACGCGTTGTGGTTTTTATTGGCAAGTCGTCGTGTAACTCACCGTGTTTTAGGCACTCTGGGCTTAACTATTGGATAGTTAGGACGAAGCCCGAGTTGCGTAGTCAGCAACGACCCCCTAGGAGTGTGGAGAATCGGCGTAGGCCTGGTAGTGATTATTGCACGTTTGTTTTGGTGACTTGTTTTTGACTTGTTCACAGTGCCCGTGTATGAGCCAGTCCTATACCGGTTAGACCCGGCTTTTGGCCTAGTGGTTTCCCTGACCTTGTCGCAGACCCTGGAACTTTACCCAGCCATAGTAGGCTGAGCTATCCCCGGCAAACGGTTGCGACCGACTGCACTTTTAATATTTAATATTTTTTTTCCAGTGCAGAAAATCTCGTCGCACTTTTTAAATTCTTTTCTTTTTTCAGAACAAAGGTACCTAAAATATACTATTTCTAAGGCAGTTTGTGACAGACACTTTATATATAATATGTATTCAACTTTATAATATTAAACCACTTGTTATCAATAAGGAAATTTTAAAATGTTTAAATAATTTTGTCCCCTTACCGCAACACATGCTACAGTATGTACAGGAACGCTCATGTTTGAAACATTTTTCATGGGTAAGTATTTTTTCACCCAATCAGCTCATTATAATGTTTTATAATTTCTTAAAGTTATCGATGACAGATGGGCCAATGGGGTGACAAATGTAGTAGTAGGCTTGTCCTAAAGCATGCCTACTACAATAAACAGGGTAGGGTTTGTTCCAGGGCTAAACGTGTTTTAGAGAACTTTGATTAACTAATTGACAAATAATATTTACCAATCATTGATTTGCAGTTAACCACATATCTTTGTGTTATTTTAATTCTTTTCAATTGATCCACTGTGTATCTGGGAATACATATGTATAGTATGAAAATAGTCTAAATGAACTTTACTCTATGGTTTGAATGCCCCGGCCCCCGGTTTCCTATCAGTCTGTATTGGACCAAGGTCACATGATCACATGATGGAAAAATAATTTATTTATTTACGTTTTGCCTTTGCTAGCTACGCCGCAGGTTCAGGTTCAGTTCAGAATAATCAGAAACTTCAACTTCTCAGAGTTCAGTTCAGGTTCAGTCAGAGACACAAAGTTAGAGTTTAGTTAGTTTGTTTAGAGTAGAGAAGGGAGAAGTCGGAGTCGTCGGTGCGGTGCCAGTGTTTTGCACTCATCGTCACTTTAGGCTTTTGTGTTTATTGAAGAACTAAAACAGACAAAACAACTTCTTTTTAATTGACTAAAACCGGTGATTGTTGTCATAGTGTTTGTTCGAACCCCCTGATTGAAGTCTATTAGCTTAGTGTTGTGTAATGAGAGTTCAAGTGGTTTAGTTTTTCACATCCATATATCTTATCAACATTGTCGTTCCAAATCATTGTTTTCATTATTGACGATAATGTCCTTTCAGTCTCTTTCCGAGTCATTTGGTGTCGCTTCATTTTTCGATAATATTACCATTAAATCTGGAAACTCGTCATTTATAACCTCCAAGCCAGGAGGAACAGACGAAATTGGCGTTGGACTTGCAATGGAAGTGTTAAATCTGGCCGTTTCAACTTTTTTGGACAAACCATGGATAGGTTCACTGATGGGTTCCTTCCTAGTCAGTCTCAGTGGAGTTTTCCCTTTGCTTCTCATCCACATTGATGATGAAGACAGTATTAAAAAAGGAGGTAAGTTAAGTCTTTTTGACAAGGTAGCGGGTGCACTAAGTTCAATCTTCTTTAATTTCATAGTTTGGTAGCCTCTGGATCACTAAATTTAAGCTAACTTAAATAGTTTGACAAGAACATAAAGTAGGCCTACTCTACCAGGACCGGTAGGCCTACATTAGGCCTATACAATTTAGTACAATCTGTTTACACAACACAAACTCACAACTAAAATACGATTAGGGCCTAACGAATGGAATATGTCACGATTATTAGAAAAATACCGGTATGGATCATAAACATCAACAAATGACGTTTTTGGCCCGAAAATAAACATGATTTAACCCTTTGAGTGCCAACGTCCGGGGAACCGGACGTTTTTAAAACGAGCCAAAAGTCCCGACGTCCGGCCGACCGGACGTTTTTAGAACGAGCCAAAAGTGCCAACGTCCGGCTGACCGGACGTTTCGTAATGATCGAACATTTGTCATAACAACCGAAGGGATACTCGGATTCTTTTAACCCATACCTATATTAACATTGATTCGAAAGTTACTATAGATGCGATACATCAATTTTCGTTGGTCAAAATATCGAAAATTCGATTTTTACGAAATTTTAACCTAAAAATTGCCAGATCGCGCTCGGCATTTTTAGCGCGACCTTCGGGAAAAATCATTGGCATTTTTTGAGCGTTACTTTTATTTCTCGCCTGGCACTCTAAGGGTTAACATTGGTTAAATGGAACTGCTAAAACATATGTTCAATGCTATTAGTATAGGATTCGGGCCAACAAAGTCATTTTGTTTATGTTTATGATCCGTACCGGGTTTTTTGTAGTATTCGTGGAATATGTAAGTAAGGCCTACTGAAAAACTGGCCAGTGATACCACAGGAGACACATGCAGCAAAGTCGAAAGTTGGGTCATAAGTTATTATAAAATAAGAAAGGTGTTACTAATCAAATCTGGTGAAGAGATGAGCCAAAGAAATGTTTTTAATTTAAGAAGATAAAAGATAGCTATTTTAACCAGTAGGCCTAATAACTTATAATGTCTACTACTGTAAATAAAATCAGCGTGAAATTGGTAAATAGACCAGCAATAAGCTAGTAACCCCTCCCACTTCTCCAACCGCCCCTCCGACGAAGATATGTCACAGTAAAACGTCACAACTATGATGGCGTCACAGCAGCGCTCGTCATAATGCAGATGACATAATCTCCAAAATATCAAATTCCCATGGGATCTGTTTCACACAGTTATGTCGTGGTTATCAAGATTGACTTCTCAAAAGGACTTATCATAGAGGTTCTGAGTTACATCTTTGTTTGGAATAAAGGCATCTTATTGAGGTTGTTTTATTCGAAATAGCTCGTTCGCTACCTACGCTAACTCGCCTCCAGGTTCAAGTTCCTTTTGGTTGCAAATTAGCTGTTGTCATAAATTAAAAAAAATACTAGTGCTGCACCCTGTGTTTACCAACAGGGTGCAGCACTAGTATTTTTTTAATGCTATTGAACATCACAGAATCAAATTGTTTAGTTGAACCAGCTGTTAAAATTTGTTAATTCCATTTAAATATGAGTACTCATAAGGTTAACATGGGAAACTCCAGAGCCACTGGGGGAGCCCTTTTGACGGATCTGCACCAAACTTCACACAAACCATCCTTTAATACTGCTTAATAATGCCTGAAAGTTTCATTACAATCTGTCGAGCGGTTTTAGAGTCCAAACAAACAAACACACATACATTGGATTTTATATACGGTACCGGTATTAGCTGGCCCGACAGACGTCGTCCTGACCTAATGTGGTTTTATGTCAAATGCTCGTTTATTTTCAAGATGAGCTCGTTCGCATTGCTCAATTACGTCCTGGTTGAAGTTCGTTCGCTATGCTCACTCACCTTTGGGTTGGAGCTCGTTTGCTGCGCTCACTTGCCTTCAGGTTAGCTCGTTCGCTACGCTAACTCGCCTCTAGGTTGAAGTTCGTTAGCTACGCTCACTCACCTTTTGGTTGCAAATTAGCTACCCTATTATCATAAATATAAAAAAATTGTGCTGCACCCTGTTGGTAAACCTATTAACTTTTTAATAAGCATTGAACATCAAATAATCAAACTGTTTAGTTGAACCAGCAGTTAAGATTCTTTAATTCCATTTAAATGAGTAGGCCTACCCTAAAACTCCAGAGCCACTGGGGTGGAGCCCTTTTGACGGATCTGCACTAAACTTCTCACAAACCATTTTAATGAGTACTTAGGTTTGCTGCTACAGGGAATGTATTGAGGTGTTTTTTTTATTGAAATATATAGTTTAATTTTAAATAAATAAAATGGCAAAATTTGATTAAAATATAGCCTAATGCAACTGTTTATTTATTCTCCATGATAAGATAACATGGGAATTTTAAATTTATATTTTTTTAAATTTATCTCCGTTACAACCATTAGGCGTACCACAACGCTCCAACATACAAAATTATTTCTTTTTTTAAGCTCTACAAAATGGTTTGAAAGGAAATTGTGAAATTTTGTGTTTTTATGGAAAAAATGGGAAAACTAATTTTTACCCCATAAACCCCTGTTCCCATAGTCCGATCATGCTGGTTCGGGAACTCGTTCAAATAAACGTAGGTTTACACGTTTGTACCAAATTTCATCAAATCGGATCACTTTTGTTCCAGTTAACGTGCTAACACACACACACACACACATATATATATATATATATATATATATATATATATATAGCCTATATATATAAATATATATGTATATAAATATGGTGTATATATATATACTGTATATGAATTTGAATGGATGATGTTTTTGGCCTCTGGGGACCTCAAAACGAAAAAGTAAATCGGTCCCGGGTGACTAGGTCTTGCCATGAGACCTACGGTAATAGCTTATTCCCTATATGAGAAATTCACTAAAAACAAACAAACAGAGAGATTGATACTGAAAGGTATGACCTTCAATGGTCTTTCTCACCTCCAAGAAAGTGAACATTTTGAAATTTAAATAATGTAAATTATTTTTGAACTATTTGACGATTGGTTGAGAATTAGTTGTAGGCCTTGGTATTTGCTCATACGTTTATGAAAAAAATGTCTAAAACTATTAACTTTTAAATAATAAATTTAAGAGAGAAAATTTATCTTTTTTTAACATAGAATTACCCATACTTGTAGTCTAAAACAAATAACTGATGTTTAATTTTACTCGACTTATTTGAATCCCAAGATACAGACAGCTCAATGTTTCAAGGTGAATTGTAGGAGGCAGTCGCGGTAGATTAATGACACGGGATAACGTGTGAAGGTTGTTGTCAAATCGTTTAGCCACTCTATAATTCAGGTAGACCATAAATCTGAACACTGCCAATTCTTTGATTTACACATCTTCCTGCTTTTTAATAAACTTATCTATCACTTTGTCGTTTTCAACTAAAATGTGGTTATTATCCTTTTAAAATAGTAAACCTACAGCAGTTGTCATTAACAAAAGTTGATAACAGAAAGTTATCAACAAATTATTTTGTACTACAGTTTTTGTTAAAAACATTAAGTCATTCCGCCATCTTGAATCATAGCTCATGCACAGCCAGCAGTTCTAGATGAGACAATGGTGCGAGAGGATGATGTGGTTCTCGCTGCAGCTGCGTGCGTTGTTTTGGCTACTGCTGTCCAAATTACCCACTTTTTGCTTTTTGTTCTATCGTTGAAATTGTCCTATCACTTTTGTCATCTTGTTCTTAACTTTAACTTTTGCCATGCGTAGACCTTGGGCGATTTCTGTCCAAGCATAGTCTTTTAAGTTTCTGTCTTTATAATAAGCATTGGTTGGGTACATTATAATCAGCTCCAGTTAGTACTGAGGGGCGACTAGCACGCTCTGTAGCACGATGCTGGGCGCGGGGGTTTCGGGGAAGAGACGTACCTGTTATTAACAAAAGTTAACACGCTAAAAGAGGCCATTAACTTTTGTTACTAACATTTGTTAAAAACAGAACACATTTCCTTTGATCTTTACCGACTCTTGATGGATAACATAAATCTTGTTAATAAAAAGTAATTTTCTGTTAAAAACACGAGTTATGTATTAACTTTTGTTTAGAGACATTTTTAGACTATTATGTTAAGTTAATAACTTTTTGTTAAAAACAGGTGTAAACGCGGCTATAGAAACTACTTGCACAACGTAGATTTGGGGTATCCTAATGATGTATTACATAATATTTATGGATTATATCCTGTGAGTGTTTTACTTTGGATACCATGTACTGTAGCCTAATTTAAACTTTCAAATCAATGATAATATTTGTGCCCACTAGGCCTACTTTAAAACATCCAACCCAATGGCACAAAAATATTATTTGTTCTCAATATAGTTTTAAGTTTTTTGATAATGGCTAATGATGTTCAATTAAGTTTATAACCATGCTATCATTACACGGTTTTATAGTCAATATCTAATTACACTAATTTTAAACTGTAATTTTAAAAGAGGGCTCAATTAAGAGTTCTTGGAGACTATCGGCCATCTTGGATTTCAAACAGCCGCTAAAGAGTTATTTTACCATCTCAAAATATTTTTTTTCAAATACCAAAGTAATTGGAATTTCAATATATAGTTCACTGTGGGGTTAGAAACTGTCTTTATGGTTTTTTAAATTAGGCTAGGCCCATTGTTTTACGAGTTAGAACGTCTAGGTTCCAAGGACTCTTAAGATGTTTGCTTGGTTTTAAAACTATGAAAAGACCTGGCAAATAGAATTGTTCATAATACATTTGTTCTTACCCCCCCCCCCCCTCTAGTTTTAGGTGGAAACATCGGTTTTTGAGCCCCCTGAACCCAAAAATGTGGTGTTTAAAGTGATATCTGTGAAGATGTGTACAGAGCTACCGTACTGACCACACCTGAGGTCCAATTTTGATGACATTTGTTAGGCCTATGTGGGTACTAATCCATGGTATCTTTAGTGAGTCGGTGGCTCAGTCGGTAATGCTACAA